AAAATGCTAGGGTCCTGCAGACCCACCCTCATGCGGATTTCAGACAGGAGAGAGGAAGTTATCCATCCCCACCTTCCTGTATCTGGCCCTGTGACAATAACATCACATGACTTAGAGCCACATGAGAAGTCTGGGATAGACTTCCCTCTGCTCTGAAGAGGTTTTGAAGGGTCACAAGCACTGAACTCTAGTGCAAGGTGTGCTGCAATTGTTGTTTTTAGTATGTTTTGATTGATGAGCATGCTGGCAAGTAACATGCAATAGAGATCAAGAAGACCTGAAAGGAGAGGAAATTTATAATGGCAAGGAAACAGGAAAGGGCTATATTTAACCGTATTCCTATTATATGTAGGTGATGAGTTAACCCAGCATCAGTTCATTCAGCGTATAGATAGACTTTGTACATGCTTGGCTGCCTCAGAGGTCCAAGAGTCCCAGCTAGTGACATTAAAGAACTGAATGTGTTTAGGAAGAGATTTTGTACTTTAGATATGCATTGCCCTATTTCTACAGGACAGCTGCTGGGCATTTGTTCTCCCACTGACCACCGACTCCAGGGCAATTCTCACTCTCTATTGACCAGCAATGTAAGGGGCACCATTACAAAATCTTAACCACTGCAATCTTTCTGCTGTGCTGTATTACATACTCCTGACCAAAGTGTTTGTTGTTTCAACAGTTGCTGTTTACAGAGTGGCTAGGTAGTAGTAGTAGTACAAAGACTGCAGAAAATGTGTGTTGTGTATATTGTGCATAGACTCTTTAACTGTTCCTTTTTTAACAATGCCCAATATTCAGTGATATGTGGACACTCTCACTGTTCCCCCATGGTGTGCCACATTATCCTCTCTCCAAGCTCTCCTGCTGAGTGTCCAGTGTTTATGTGCCCTTAGCATACAGTCTTGAGGGGGGGGGGGTTAACTCATGATGTTGCATAAAGGGGAAAAAAAAAAAAAAAAAACCCTGCGATGACCTTATTGCCCCCCTACCCCTAGGGTAGGGAACACAAAATAAATGTTTTTTAAAAGAACTATGGGATAACTTTTTATTCCAGTTCTCTTTTGGGTCACAAGTGGAACCCGTGACCCAAAATTCAGCATATATTCGGGCTATTGCCCGCTATATGCTGAGAGCGCCGCAGCCGGGATAGATCCCGACAATACTGTAGAGATACACCCAGCTGGCTGATTAACAGCGGGCTCTGTCTATCTAGAGGTAGAACCAGCTACGCCCGCCCCCTCCGCGTCCACGCTGGAGGATCGGGGAGGAAGGAATCCCTGCAGGGAGCAGTGACTGCCAGTCACCACTCTCCGCAAGCAGAGGATCGGCGGTATGTTTTCGCTCCCTTCCACTTTAATAGAGCCGACGTGTGACAGTCTCAATGTCACACTACGGCTCTAACTATGGGGATGAGTGTAATTCACACAGCCCATAGTTCTCCTTTAAGGAAGGGAGCCCAACTTATGATCATGCCCACTGCATTCAGAAACCGCTTCTGGGATGATCTTATTGTTTCCCTCCCAGGGCAGAGAACACAAATTAAAAACTTCCATTGTTAACTAATATTTTTTTTCGTTATTTCCTGAATTTTCCTCTGGAAACCAAGAAGGTGGGGTGTTAATCTTGAACCTAATTAACCCTGTCTGTGCAGTGCTGGCAGATCTAATTTTCAGTTGTAAACTAGATTTGAACATCGCCTGTCCTAAGGGCTAAAGCTCTAGAAGCATTGTTAAGAGGAAGCTCAATCTGTCCCTAGTTTTTCTATGGGGACAGCCAGGGTTTCCTGTGACTGAATTGTACAGAGAAGCTCCAAAGGCCAGCTACACAGCTAAAAAGCAAGATTTTTTTTTGTACAAATTATTTTTAGGTATGCTATGTGAATAGGAGCACAAACACATTGAGGGGGTCTCAAGTTTGTTTGTAAATATGGAAGTACACACTTACAATCATGTTTTTCTGAACAGCTGCTTCCAAGTCTCTGAACTAAGCTTCTAAGTCTCTGAACTAAGCTTCCCTGAACTTCCTGTCTAGTACAAGATCACAAAGAACATTGCAGACTCATTACAACTGTTCATCTACTAGCTTGGAGGAGGGAGGCAAGTAGCTTGACTTGCTGTGTCTGTGTGTTTGTGGAAACACGCAAAGATAACTAGCGCACAAACAAGGGTGACTGCATAGCAATCTGCTTGGGGAAGGAGCCGCTCTAAAGCAAAGTCAGGACCATCTGATTCTACAGGAAACAAACGTTTCAACATCAAGGAGCAACATCCATTGGAAGTGATTTCATCGGCATTTGAAAATCACTTAAAATCCTTCTGACTGTAATATCACTTTCCTAACCTGTGGGTAATTTTTCAAAGATTGAACAGGCTGTTACTCAAAACAGGGATAAAAACATAATCCCATAGAGGGCGCCTGGCACTGTTTCACAGCTGCTCAATCCCAAACCAGGCTATCATTGACAGCAGGGTCCCCACAGATTGGGATTCATTCAGAGTAGCCACTGCCACCTTCAGGTTGTAGTGTTTATCTGCAGTGCCATCTGTTTAAATAGGGTAACTTTCACTTACAGCTGCATCATTAAAAAGACCATTAACCACTTGCGGACCAAAATTTTTCATTTTTGCGTGTAGACGCACAAGACACGTGTTTGTGCTTCCATGTACGTGGGGGCAGGGTACTCTCAAATTTTTTTGTGCTTTTTACATTTAACTGTATTGCCATCACATATGGGATACAAAAAGCCCCCTATGTAATAGCAAATATGATGTGACAGGTCCCCTTTATGGAGACCCCTAATGTCACCTAGGGACCCCAAAGAAGCCGATGAAGCAGAGATCTGCTTCACCAGTTTCTTCTCCTGGGTATAAGGTTTTCAGTATTGGGGACATATTGGTTTCCAGAGTCAAAGACTTTTTGCAAAGCAAAAGTTCGTTTAAGTATCCATAATTTGGAAGAAGACCCAGAAACATAGCAAAGACCTTGGCGTTAAGGGCCACAAAGTGATAATTGATTTCACCTATCGCGTCGATGTCCCAGAAAGATGGGACGTGCAAATATCCATCCTTACTTTAGATAGAAACCCATAAAACTCCTAGATGAAGGGAGACAATAACTGAATGAACAGATTCAATTTAACCTTTTGAACTTGAACATAAGCGTTGAGAGCTTTAAGATGGGACGAAAAACTTTTAAATATGGATAGTCACGTGCTCTCTAAAAGTAGAGATGACCATGGGAACCCCAGACCACTGCAGGACAAATCAGTACGGAGACTAGAAAAACTACATTAACAAGAGAAGGAGACATCTATTCTCCTGAGAACAATAAGCAAAACTATCAGGTGTGAGGGGTTATGATCTTAAAGTGGCAGGCTTTTCATTTTTTTGCCTAGTGCCCATTTCTCCTGAAGGCAGCAGCATAACCTGCATCTCAGAATTCTTCAGAGCGGCATTCCTCAATGGACAAATTAATTTTCCAAAGAATACAAGGCATTCTATGACTGGAGGACAGATTGTCACATCGCTGCCCCTTCCGCCTCCAGTGACAGAATGGATATGGCTTCACTTCAGGGGCCCATGCTCATATTCATTACTCAAAGAGCGTTGCCTTACTGTCTCGTGCTAAAAGATAGCTGTAACCTTCATAAAAGTTAAGAGCAGGTATTATGTAGGCTGCTTTTAGGTCACATCACATTAGTGACCCTAAAAACTGCATGAAAAAAGCCACACCTGTTTCTATGTGTCACTCCCTCGCCAGCCATATGAGTAAGGTGTAGCTCCTTAGCGGATGGAAACACTGAAGGATCCAAGTTGCCAGTGAGGGAGCTACAATACGTTCATCAAGTCAGCAAGGTATTTCATGGCCCTTTGGCGTTTAATTTTATATAAATGATATTAGCTATATACACTGCCTGCCCCCCCCAAAAAAGCCATGCACTCGAATATTTACTTGGAGCACCTTTAGCTTTGATTACGGCATGCACTTGCCATGGCATGGTTGTGATAAGCTTATGCAAATGTCACTACATTTATTTGTATCCAAAGTTTAATTCATTTTTCACCAAGATTGTAGTGATGATGGGAGAGTTAGACCACTGCATAAAGTCTTCTCCAGCTGATACCAAAGATTCCCAATGAGGTTAGGGTCTGGACTCTGATGGCCAATCCATGTGTGAAAATGTCCCCTTGCTCCCTGACCCACTTTCATAACTTGAGTCCGATCAATCCTGGCATTGTCCTCTTGGAATATGCTTGTGCCATCAGGGAAGAAAAAAAAATCCATTGATGGAAAAAACCTGGTTATTCAGTATATTCAGGTAGGCAGCTGACCTCATTTTTAGGGGACGCAACGTTGCTGAACAAAGTAATTATCCAATGGAAGGATATTTGCTTAGCTAATCCAGGTGGTGACATTTCTGGCCAGGCAGTGTATTAAAAAGTTTTACCCCCAATTGTAAGTCTAGATGATCCCAGGTATATGAAGTCTATAGTGGGCTTGACTACAGCAATAAGCTGAACCTCTTCCAACTTAAATCCCTCCCCACTATCTACCGAAAACCACAGAGCAGTCCGCAGCATTAGGGTTTTCTGCCTTAAATAAGCTCAAACAAATCCTATCATATATCAGTTCTAATGTGTGGAAAATGTATAAATGATTTGGTGACAAGTTCTGGGAGGAGATTAGGGATCTTGTGTCCTTGATCTCGAACAGCAGCACAAAAGGAAGACTATGTAGATACCTTATATCAGTGGCCCTATGTTCGTAATAAGGCTAGATTTACAAAATAATTCAAAAAGGTTTTATATCATTTCTTCACCCCCCCCCCCCC